CTACAGGGACACAGCCACATCAATGTTTATAGCAGCACAATTCACAATAGCTAGACTATGGAGCCAACCTAGATGCCCTTCAATGTATGAATGGATTAAAAAATGTGGCATATATATACAATGGAATATTACTCAGCACTAAAAAATAACAAGATCATGGCATTTGCAGGGAAATGGATGGCATTAGAGCAGATTATGCTAAGTGAAGTTAGCCAGTCCCTAAAAAACGAATGCCGAACGTCTTCTCTGATATAAGGGGGGTGACTCAAAAATGGGGTAGGGAGGAAGAACATGAGAAGAAGATTATCACTAAATAGGGAAGAGAGGTGGGAGAGAAAGGGAGGGAGAAGGGGAATTGCATGAAAGATAGGAGACCCTCATCATTATACAGAATACATGTATAACGATGTAAGGAAAAAGAAAAACAAAAAGAAGTGTGTCACATTAGATTGGGTAGAGAGAAGTGATGGGAGAGGAGGGGAGGGGAAGGGGGGAATGGAAGGACAGCAGAATAAAATAGACATTATTATTGCTGTATGTATATACGTGACTGCATGACCAATGTGATTCTGCAACCTGTACACTCAGAAAAATGAGAAATTATATCCCATCTGATTCAAATGTATGATATGTCAAGATCATTGAACTGTCATGTGTAACTAATTAAAACAAACAAAAAAGAATTATTTGCATAATAAAATCAATCTTTCACATCACAAAAACAAAACCAAAACAAAATAGACTATAAAAACAACATTCCAGTAATGCACAAAGAGGTGTCTTAAATTATGCCTACTTATATTAAAAGTAACACCTCAAATACTGAGTGTGACTTCAGGTAAGTTACTTGACATCAGTTACATTCAGAGGCTGAGACCCTCTGGCATAGGGATATTGTTTTCATGATAATTTGTTGCAAAATGCTTAGCCCAGTGCCTGGCATAAGGTAAACATTCAATGAATGTATTGTAATTTGCTAGGTAGGCTGCATATGGCCTGAAGTTTGTAAATTATTTTTTTACTTTTCTGGAACATTCCCTGTTCTTCCCAACTCATCCTCCCATTCTCTTTTCATGTTTTCTTTCTAATCTGATTATAAACTAAGAAATTAACTTCTACTCTACAGACTTTAAGAAATGGGTATAAAAGTAGTTTCTAAGTGAAGGCCTGGGGACCTATACTTAGGACAAAAGTGTATGGATTTCTGCATGTTGACTGCTTAGAGGCTTTCTTAATTCCTATATTCCCAGTTATGTTCCAAGAACAGAGCTCTGACACATGAATGACCTCTGCATGTTGTTTCTATCATATCATAGTTAGGTATTGAAAAAAGTTGCCTCATTAGCTGCTATAGTTTGGATCTGGAATATCTCCCACAGGTGCATGTGTTAAAGGCTTGATCCTTACCTTGGCGCTTTTGGAAAGTGGTAGAACCCTTGATGTGGGGCTTACTGCAAGGTCTTTAGATCATTGAGTGTGTGTCCTGAAAGGGACCCTTGTGTCTTTCAATTTCTCTTTTACTTCCTAGACTTGAGGTGAACAACATTGTTCTGCCACATGCTGCCCACAATGAGGTAGTTCCCTGAAACAGACCCCAAAGCAATAGGGCTAATCAATCATGGACTAGAACTTCCAAAATTGTGAACCAAAATAAACATTTTATTAAGGTGATTATTTCAGTATTTTTATTACAATAACAAAGATAACACCTTAACTATTTCATTTACAGTGTTTAGTAATCCCTTAAATTTTAAAATGCTTTCAGTGCTCAATCTAATCAGCAGAACCTAGAATGTCCTTAATGAAAACATATCATAGTATTTGTAAATAAGCTTTGAGAAGTTATACTCAGATCTATGGATTTTAAGCACATAATATTTTTAATACTTATGAATAAGAGTTTTTAATAGTTAGACTTAAGGAAGACAAAATCTTTCAAAGGGAAAATGTCATTTTTTAAAAAAATATTTTTATTAGTTGTTAATGAACCTTTATTCCTTTATTTTATTTACTTATTTGAATCAAACCCAGTGCCTGACATATGCTAGGCGAGCACTCTACCACTGAGCCACAACCCCAGCCCGGAAAATGTCATTTTAAGTGTAGCTTTTCCTAAATCTTTTTTTTTTTTTTTTTTTTTTTTTTTTTAATGACAGGCACTGTTGGTTCTCTCCTTCTTCCATACTGGCAACCACCCACCACTACATCCTGGTTACATGACCATGCAGCAACATACATTTCCTAATTTCTTTTGGACCTCTTGTGGCCAAGTTCTGGCCAATGAGTTTGTGTAATTTCCTTTCTCTTCAGGCTGGAGCTATATTTGTGGCTTACCATTGGGTTATTACACAAGGGTGAAATAAATTTTTGTCTCAAGTCATTATTATTTTGGATGGGCCAATACAAAAACTTTATTTCAATAACACATTGAATAAACTGTCAAATATTTAAATCAGTTGTCATTTTAAGGTTCCTGAAAGTTTCATTTTCAGCCATTCTGCACAATGATAATACTTATGTAATTCTTAACCAAGATTAGATGGAAAAAATTAACAATTTTAAAAACACAAGCTTGAGCAATAGTTTTTGTTCTATTAGGGCTGTACAATATTATTAAAATAACAGAAATAACAATGTGATGAATTGAGTCCCATCATCTGAAATAGCAGGCCAAGGTTTAGTTTCCCAGGGCTAAATCTCCCAGCATTCAGGTATTAGCCATGTGCAAATTTAGCTGTAGATAAAAGACATATTCCGTTATCAGAGGTCTTGGCACAATGGGTATTTGTTAACTCTGGACTGACCCTTGCAGACTCTCAAGCTCCAGAAGGTTATGCCTGTGAATGATCTCAACTATTCCAGAGGTGTGTCACTGGATTACATGCAATATTAGGCCTTGCTTTTTTACCTAAAGAAATCTGTTTTAGTCTAGAGAAGTTAAAAAAAGGAAGCAATGTTTTTAGTCCAACTACAAACCTGCACTCATCTTTTTAGAAGCTCTTCCTTCAAAGGTGAAAATAGTCATGAGAATAATAATGTCAATAGCTATCTTTAAATCTTAACTTGATAGTATTATTACATTTCCTAAAATAAAGGCTGGGAAGGCAAATATTTATTTACACTGCAAGACAGTAGCATCTCCTCCATCAAATTATATGATCCATAATGGAGGGATGTTTACTGCTAATATTGCCAGTACTTAGGAAGGCTCTCAATGAATCTAGAATGTATGTGCCTTGGGATTTAACAGTTATGACTACTTATTTTTAGAAACTTTAGAAATTCTCCTTACATATAATAAATGAGTTTGAGGGTTCTTTAGTTATTTTAGATTTCTATATGACAGAATGTATTTTGTTTGGTCTATGGTTAATAATTAAATTGACAATCTCAGGGCTGGGGTTGTGGCTCAGTGGCAGAGCACTTGCCTAGCATGTGTGAACACTGGATTTGATTCTCAGCACCACATATAAATAAATAAATGTCCATCAACAACTAAAAAAAAATGTGTATACACACACACACACACACACACACACACACAGAATCTCATTTTTTACCAGAGGAATCCTAGAATGGAAGCCCACCTCTTCTGTCACTCCTTGTTTCATTGTGGAAAACTCAAGTCTCTGCTCAGTTTTTTCTCAGTTGTAAAAGGAAGGAAATGCTTTCTATTGTGTGAAATTGTTTCCACACAACATAAAATCATCACTTTTTGACAAAAAAGTGATTTAATGTTATATAATCATGACCTTATATTTTAATCAGTAAAAGGCTGAAAAATACTATGCAAAAGCTTTTATTCTACATAATTAGCAAATAATTCTGAGAACTATTTCTTGGGGAAAATTTCAAATTTAGCCATTTTAATCAAATGAGAAACTTTATTTTTAAATATCTAATCACATAAGCAAGTCTCCCCAATTCCTCACTCTGAATAATTTTTCCAGTCAGGTATTAGTATCACTGACTTTTAATGGCTCAGCTAAAGAAATAAAGTATGAAATCCTAATACAGTATTTTGTAAGTTTGACTGGAAATCATATATATTAAATTTAATTGTTCATATACAAAGGTTTTGGCCTTCAAAAATAGCAATTTTATATGGCACAAAATAAATGTATTTAGTATTAAATACCATGAATTAGAAATAATAGCCAAAGCCTCCCAGTTGTTCCTTCTATTCTTATCATTTCCCGCCTGTAGGGGTGTGGTGGGTGTTTCTTCTAAAATTTCACAATCTTGTGTGGCAGGAATTTGTGTCTCTCCTACATAGCAATTTGCAACTTATGGTTTAAATGACTATTTTTTGTTTTGTTAACTATTCTAAGAAGCTAATATGAAAAAATAAGTGTTTTATAGAGAGAATATACTGGAAATTCCTTAATGTTCCTGAATTATTTAACTCAGTGGTTCAAAAACTTTATAATGTTCATAATAATCTATAGAGAACTGGTTAAAACAGGTTTCTGGGCCCTAAACCCAGAGATTCTGATTCAGTAGGTGAGAGTGGAGCTTCTGAATTTTACTTTCTACCAGATTCAAAAATTATGTTTGGTTTCATACTTTGAGAACCTCTGAGCTTGGGTCTAGAAGACTATTTGTAACCAGGCATTTTCTCTTTGGTCTTTCAGCAAATAAAACTAAAGCTTATGAGGTTTGAAATAAATTTCCTTAAAGCCATTTTCTCGTTAAAGTAGTATATATTAGCTCAGTTGTAAGGTAATTAAAAATTCCAGTTGCTTCAGTCTACAACTCAGGATAACTCCGAGGAATTTGTTCACCTGTCCACTCTATAGAACGGTACTGTGTTCTGTCCTGCCAATGGGGCAAGGGTCTCTCCAGACTTACCCTTGGAGCTTTGGCCCTAATGGCTTCACTTGCTTTATCAAAGGCAGAGCGTCCTACTTGACAAACAGCAGGAGGCTGATAGAGAAGCGCGGGGGGTGCCAATCTAAGAGACCAAGCCTGACATGCTGCGGTGAGTCCACCTACTGCCACCCTCGAGTGAGTTTTCTCTCCAGAGACCTTTCCTGAGCGCAGGGAGACCAGTCGAAGGGAAAGGCCACCCAGAAGCAGCGAAGTAGGCAGCGTCCCACCCACCAGAGATCTAGTAGGGAGCCAGTGCCTGAACCGCCGTCTCTGGGTAGTCCCTGGATTGCCGGCGCCCAGGAAACTACCCGCCAGAGGGCCAACCCAGCACCGACTGTTATCCGGAGAGGCGGCGCAGGCCAGGATTCAGGAGCGAGCTTGATCTCTCATCCCAGTCCCCTCCCTCCTTCTCCGGCTGTGAAGATGTCCGCCAAGCCCGAAGTTGGATTAGTGCGTGAGGCTTCTCGGCAGATCGTGGCCGGTGGTTCAGCTGGTAAGGCCCGGGCCCCCCTCTGCTCCGCTCAGCCGGAGACTAGTCCTTTGCCCCATTGCGTGCCCCGAAAACATTTCTCAGACAAGCTTCCCGGCCCAAGTTTTATCCTCTTTCTTAAAATTCTGCGCGGCCGGTTCAATACCTGAGCCCGCAGAGCACAAGGGCAAAGGAAGCCAGAGCGTGCTGAGAGTGCCGTGTGTCCTAGATAAAGTCGCCTCGGCACTGATGCCAGCAGCTCTTGGGTTCCTGGCCTTCTCTGTTCCTAGGCTGCAAGAGGCGGGCGGCACCAAGTCTTGTAATTTGAAGGAAGTCTTTTTTGCTTTGCTGGCTATTTTGTTCTGTTTTACTTAAGTTTGCTAGCACTTGTAGATTCTCTCCAAGGTAGCACAGATCTTACACAGATCCTTCCTTGCTCATCAGAGTATTAGGTATGACTCCACAGGGCTTCTTATTGCTTACCATTCTTTCTTGGGAATATAATTGCGCCATAAATAGGCATATTAAAATTAAATGCATATTTTAACACACAAACAGTTGGTATAATGGAATTACAATTTATGGAGAGTTATGCTGTAGGAGAAAGAAGAAAAACCGTTAGCAAATGATATGTTATAACCATTCTTGGCAATAATTGTGTTAAATGTAGCTGGGGAAATTTACCATGAAATTATGCACATGGATTTTAAAAAATATTTAAAAGTGTAATTGATTAATTTAATCTTGCATACAGTGGTGCGTTTTATTATAAATACATAACAATTACCATAACAAATAAATACCACAATTTAATAAGTGTGATTATTCCTTTAATAAATTATGATGATACTAATAAATCATAGTAAGACAAGGACAAGAAAATGTTTAATGTTGATTAGTAAAATTTACTATATTTTAAAACAGATTTGGGCTATTTATAAAGGACTACTACAAATTATGACCAGTATCATTATGTTGAATCTTAGGGGTACCACAAGCAACTAGATGTGTCACAATGTGTACACTTTTCTGAAGTTCATATCTCATTATTAATTATTAGTAACAATTGAGGCATTAATTTCTTATAGGTAATTGTGGATTGTCCACCCATTATGATGTCAGTGACCCTACTGCCTACTTTTTAAGTTGTTTCCCAGTAGGGGTGATGAACTTGCACTGATTTATTCACAATTTTTGGTGGATTTCACAATGGCCACGGCTCTGCTAGCTCTACCTGACTCACTTTATTCCCAGTCTGTGACCTTGATCAAAGAAAACTCACTTGTCCCAGAGGGAAAGTTGGAGCTAGTTGGTTAACATCTTAAGCTATGAACAGTGATTAATAAGCATCTGTATATTGGTGATTAATAAGCATCTGTATATTGGTTTAGATAATAATAATATGTATTAGGCACAGCTAAACTCAAAGGATGTTAAAAGTAGATTAAAATTTAATTCTATTTATGGTGTTTTGTTGGATAAGTATTTGGCATACATATAATGCATGATGCCATCATATAGTCTTTTTTTTTAAAAAAAATATTTATTTATTTATTTATTTTAGTTTTAGGCGGACACAACATCTTTTGTTTGTATGTGGTGCTGAGGATCGAACCCGGGCCGCACACACGCCAGGCGAGCGCGCTACCACTTGAGCCACATCCCCAGCCCCCATCATATAGTCTTATGATTGTAACTAGTATGAATGAAAATTAGGACATTTATAAGATAACTTTAAAATAGTAGAATGGTTAATTTATATAGTTTGTACTATGGGGTTTTTGATAAGTGATGAGAGTAATTTATACTTTCATCAGAGTGAAAAAGAGTACTTGGCCAAAAGCATTTCCATAAGACTTTATTGCAACTGTAATAAATGCAATAATCCTTTTGCATATACTAGATCAAGGGTCAGAAAAAATCAATATACAAGAGAAGCATAATTTTAATAAAAAGAAGATGCATTTGAATTTCTAGCACAGGAATTCTGATTTCTGGTACTATCATCTCTCTGTGTATTATATGATCTTCTGGTTGTAAAGTTCAAAAATACATTGTAAGGGAATGTTCTCTTAAGAGAAAAAATATATAAACTGGGGAGGTTTATTGGAGAGCTAGCAGCATGTCTCATGGCATTTAAGGTCCAGTGTGCATTTCTGAAGAGGAGAAGGAAGTAGATTCTCTTCAGCTCTTACTTCTTTTCTTTGTCAAATGGTCAAACATCCCCAAGGCAGCAGGTTGGTGGCTAATAATAGGGCCATAGTGTTACTACTACAGCTGTTAGGATGCCTTGGCCTACTCCACACATTTGCCTGATAAAGAAAACATGCTCAAGTGGATTTAGTTCATTACAGCTGAAGTAAGTTATATTGTACCTAGTACTCCAGACAACACTGACCTGAAGAGGTCGGATGATAGACTATGAGTGACTGGCCCCTTGCTGTTGAGGACCTACCTCTGAGTAGCTTTATAGATTTGTGATGAAGTCTACAGCTGTAACATAGATAGGGGTGAGATGGAAAGTCATGTGCTTCACTGAAACCAAGGAAATGGATGAGAAAGGCCTTGCAGCAGTCTTCCATTAGATAATAGTCTTCCTTTAGGGAGGAAAAGCTGCCTTTCAGCAGCTAACAGGGCAGCTTGTCTTTGTTTCACTTGGATAACTCACAGAGCATTCTGTCAAGACCAGATTAGGCTATGATTGGGCCTTGCCATCCTGGCTTATATAGAGATATCCAAGTTTGTCAGGGTGTACACTTGACAAACAGGGAGAGTTATTTCTCTGTGCCATCTTGGTATCCTGAGCATTGTTGTTTCTTGTAGGTAACTACTGTTTTCAGCTTTCATTGAGCTCTTCTATGTGACAAAACCTGGTCTCCAACAGCTTTTAAATATCCATGCCTTTGACTTCTGTTCCCTGGTAAACATCAGAGACTGACTTGCTTTCCTTTAATTTTTGTCCAAAATCCTAAGGAAAGACTCAAAACAATCCAGAGTTGACAGGGTTCCACCTCTACATCAATCAGCTCTAGCCAATCCCCTTGTGAATGTGTGGTGCTGTTGTGCCAGATTTGTGGGACCCCAATAGACCTCCAGGAGCCGAATCTGATGCAATCACACAAGAGTCTTTATTGCAAGCTCGAACCTGGACTCACAGCCATTCCCAACACAGCGGTCCCAGGGAGTGAGTACTGGTCCTTTGTTCAGTGAGATTTTATGTTTTGGGGGGATACTCTATGCGTCACAACATCACACAACAAATCATTCCATACCACGGGAAAATCAAACAACAACTCTTAACATTGATTAGCACATTCAATGGCAGAAACAAGTTGGGTAGGGTGATTGGTTAACACAAGAGGGGGGTTCCTTTGAACTGATTGGTTTAGGCCATGAGGGGTGTACGTGCTAAACTACATGGTTTCTCAACATGTTATCAACCACCATAAACTACTTGGGGGTCATCTTGCATTCCAGGTATTTTCCCTGTCTCATGCTGATTGAAGGTTGCTAGGGGAGTTCCTATGGGTCCTAGCCTGAGTCAGGGACACCTGGCACCACAGACCTCTCCTGTTATTTACAGACAAACAACTCAGCAGGGTGGGTATGTGTTTAGGAGTGCTCTGTGGGTTTTTCCAAGGACAAAGTTCACTCCCCCTTCCTTAGACAGGCTTTGCTCTGAGGTAGAGGCTTGTTTCTCAAAAATGGAGTCACATTAGTTTTTCATTCCACCCTTTGTCTGGAAACTTGGGAACCAATCATGGTTCCCTCAGTTGGAGGTCTATATGGGCAGGCCTTACATCTTGGTAGGATTCTCCTTCTGAGTCTAGGGCTTGATAGTGGGTACACAGAACCAATATCTGAACTGTTTACTCTGTTCTTGATGAAAGCCATTAGCTTGTTCACAAGTGGTCCTAAGGTTGACACTAGAGTAAACAGTAACCCTCAGGGGACAGTCCTTAACTTTCCAGACTCACTCAAAATTGGCCTCCTGACTCGATTTACCTATCTACACTGTCTATCTATTTCTGGCTTCATTCCCCCTTTAATTTTAGGAACTCCTTATTGCTGTAAGGAGAAGGGGCGATGGCTCATTCTGGCTGCTTCAGAGCTAATATAGGGCATCGAACATGAGGGGACTCGACGTGAGAGACGATGTGGGGGATGTGAGTTCCCTTTTAGAAGTCAGTTCAGTTTGAAGTCTGGTTGGGGAAGAACAGGTTGTAAAGTCATCTGGGGATGGGTGCTTCTATGAGAGAAACAAAAACCATGAGTACTGAATAAATGTTACAGCAGTTGGAACATGTCACTGTATAGAAGTTCCCTCACCAGGCTTTAACATCTCCAGTTATCAGGACTGTAAACATAACATTTAACTTTTAGTGTTACAGATGTCCTTCCCCATAAGATACAGTTTAATAATTTAATGTCATCTGATATTGCAAGATCCTTTTACTAGTATGACCTCTGTGTCTAATAGAGAAACCTTTAGTTCTGTTACTCAGGGCTGGATAATCATACTAGCAAACACCAAGTCTACCTGTGTAGGTTAGAAATATCTGTAGGCCTTAAACTAAAAACTTCTGTCTCTGGCAGCTCCTCTTGATAGTTTCTTTTGATAATTATCAGGCATTCTTGCCTAAGAATCTCTTCTGTAGCCTCCAGTCTTACTTATTCTTGGGGGCTAACACAAGGTGTAAACCTTAAGTTACATTTAACTATTATTATTATTTAAAATGCCCAGGAATAGCTGTGTTTTGGTTTTAACTGTCTTTGCTAAGTATTTAAGATGAAGCAAGTCAAAATGACTTTTGTTTCTATCTATTGTTAACAGCTGAGTTTCCATGGGAATCCTGGGGGAACTTTGGAGCAGCTTTTCAGTTCTGCTAGTGCCATTTGCGCTAGGATGGATCCAGGTTTTGCTTGACCATGTGGATTCCCTTGGAAGCATCAGGGATGTCTCCCTTCTCCGGTGAGAAGCAAATGCACTGATTGGCTTTCTGTTCTCAAGTAGTCTCATTAAT